TGCGGGGAAGATGGGGGGGAGGGGGATATATAAGCTGTTTTGCTGAAGTAGATGGTGGCAAACACCAAAAGTGCAAGTTTCGGCGAAACTTTGTCGTGGCGAATAGCAGCAACGGGAATTAAAGAAGCAGGGGTAACGGGAGGAGGGCGGTGTGCAAGGGGTAGGGGATGCAGGGAAACACGGCGGTCAGAGGAGAGGTAGGTGCACTTGCAGAAACAGGAAAAAAAATCGGGTCCACGGGCAGCAGCTCAAAGGAGTACGGACATTTCATTTCCAATTGAACATAAAAGTGAAACAAAGCCAATGAGAAAAAGCGAGGAGTATGAAGGAACCAGACACAAAGTGTATTATGACTCTACAATATTAGTTCTATTAGTTGTTGTACTCATTTGCACCACGAGTCTCGAGACTTTGTAGCTAGGTTGTTTTCGAGCGCGACTTGCACATCGACTGACTCAGACTGACCTGCTTGCCCGCGAAGGCCTCGTTGCAGCTGAAGTGCTCCCTGTTGAGCAGCGTGAAGGTGAAGTCGACGTAGACCCGCATGCCCTGGCAGGCCGACTTCCACACCAGGTACACGCCCAGGACCTTGTCCGTCCTGGAGAAGGTGATGGCCCATCGCTGGTAGCCGCACGTCAGCTCCTTGGAGGTCACGTCCCGCTCCGGGTCGCGGGTCACACTCCGCGTCACCACGAACGTGAAGACGTGCGAGTCGGCGCGGTCGTGCAGCTTCACGTAACGGTACAGGAGCGCCATGCTCTGCAACAGGAGAAGTCCCAGCGTGAAAATCAATTGCCATAAAAACACGTTTCCTTTATTTGTTTTTGTTATTTGTACAAAAGACTGTCATTTTTGACGTCCCTTTGTTTCTAGAAAACGATTCTGTCGAGAGAAAAAGATAGGCCACGGAGACCAGAGTAGAGGTGAAGCAAACAGCAGACCCATGCGGACTCAAAGGCGGGCACTCATCAAATCGTAAGAACACAGCATCCCTAAGTCTTTGAAGGGCCTGCCTGGTTCTACTTGTAGTGTTTCCTCAACGTACCTCAATGCCGCGGTTGAAAGCCCGTGCGGGACCAAGTGGAATTCCAGAATTGCTTTGTTGTTACGATTAGACGAGGGTCCGGGTCCGCCTTTGGGTCGCCGCATGCATGGGACCGGCTTTGCACCTCTGGGCCAGAGTCACCCATGGTGGTGAGTACGCGAGTACCGCCGCCCAATGCGCAGCAGCAGAGTGCCCGAGTGTGCGGTGCAGGCGGTCGCAGGTGGCCTTGCGCCTCCTTCTCTGGCCCGAGCGTACTGCATTAAAGCGGCAATCCTTGTGCGGGCCCCACGCAGAACCGCAGCCATTCCTCCTCCTGGAAGGGCTGTATACAGCGTGCCCGAGGGAAGGCAGGGCGGAGGGGGGATGGAGGGGGCTGCTTTGGCCGAGCCGGTGCCGGCGTGGTTCGAGAGGCCCCATCTGTTAATTTTTTGATGGCCGTGTGTGCTGCTTGTAGAAGAGAGAGAGAGAGAAGGGGGGGGGGGCGAGGGCCGGAGCACGCGCGACCTAAAATATTGAAATGCGACCTTAGCGCGCTACGCAGCCACGCACCTCCAGGCCGCGGCCGCCCGCACGCACCGCACGACTGGCAAATATTATTCCTGCCTCCATGCCCCCTCGACTCAGAGTCCTTCTCCAGCCTTCTCCTCTGCCGGTTGCGCGCGGGGTTGGGAGGGAGAAGGGGGGGGGGGGCGAGGGCCGCGGCAGCTCGCGGCAAGCAGGCGTTATTAGATATCATAGACCGCGAAACGTGGGAAGACATAGCAGAGCGTGGCCGGCGGGGCGAGACAGGGCGGGGGGAGGGGCCATCACTTTGCCGCTACCCTGCCGAGAGAGTTTCCCCTGCGCATAGGGACGCGTGCACCCGCCTCATCAGATTGGTACACGACCAACAACAATGGAGCGTGATGGTTTTTAAAGGTAAAACTCAAACGACGCGTTACTTCTTTTCCGGTGACGCTATGGCTATGCGCGCACCGTATGAGCGAGAGTGGTAACGAACGGCGGGTGATTTAGTGGGCTGTGTCTGGCGGGGGCCCAGGGAGCCCCAGGGGCGGGCCGGCCCGTGG